AAAAAAAAAGAAAACGGAAAAAAAGTAACATAGTATCATTTAGAGAGGCGGAGCTGACGACCGGTTCTTTCCTCGTTCATATATTAGCTTTTGCATTTATATAAGCTCTGTGTGTGTTTCAGCAAAACCATATTTTCATATTATCACCAACATGTGTGGTATATGGGCTCTACTCGGCGGGCATCTAACACATACTCATGAAACCGAATTTCTGAAAATTGCTGGACGTGGACCGGATCTTACAGTCCTCGCCAACGTTCAGCCAACAGTATGGCTGGGTTTTCATCGTCTAGCTATTGTAGAGGTATCAACAAACATATTATATTTCCAAAGAATAGAAAATTGAAAAGCAAAAATTGAGACTTAAAACATTGTACGAAATAAAACAAAAAAAAAGCACGGTTTAGTCAATTTAAGTAAGTTTACTCAAAGTAAGCAAAGCATTTATTTCAATCTTTAATTTTTTGGAAAAGCAAATATGGTTATTACCAATTTACTATTTTCACTTTTTTTTTTAGCCGGGTAATGTTGCAAGTGTACAACCAATTGTCTACAATGATCTGTCGGTTGTCTGTAATGGAGAGCTCTATAACCACGAAGAATTGAAAAGCAGATGCCCGTTGGATGGTATCCGTAACGGAGCTTCAGACTGTGCAGCTATTATCCATTCATTTATCTTCTTCAAAGGCGATTTACGTAAAACATGCGCCTCCCTAGATGGCGTTTTTGCATTTCTTATGGCCGACAAACATAACTTATATATTGGTAGAGATCCAATTGGTGTACGACCATTGTTCTATGGACATACTGCTTCAGGTTTTTTCTTTTGCAATTCTTTCACTTATGTAGCAATTTTTATGCAAAATTTTTTGATATTAGAGAAGAAAAAAGAAAACTTGGCATTTTCTTCGCTGTTGCTTGATCGTCGTTAAACGTCGAGATAGTAAAAAATGAGGCACCCTAACAAGAACTAAACAATAAACCTGTTTATTATAAGATATAGCTGAAAGCTTTGTTGTTTTCCAGGTGCCTTAGTGCTTGGTTCAGAAGTAAAATCAGTTGAGAAGCTATGCGAGCGAGTTTTGTATTTTCCGCCTGGTTGTTGCGCAACAGTACCCATTGGTTCAAAATCCGAAAGCCTCAATATTCAGCAATATTACGTATTACCGTGTTTAGCAGACAGAATTTTACCAGTTAATGAAATACAGGTAGGTTATGTTTTCATTGATAAGTTACTAAAAAATTTTCTCTTAGCGAGGTGTTAAATGCTTTGTTTTGGTACGTTAATCAAAGCTTTTTTTGGTGTATATATGACTTTAGTTATTGTTGAAGGCAATGATACGACAGACATTAATTGCTGCTGTACAGAAACGTTTAATGGGGAATCGCCAATTTGGTTTTATGCTCAGTGGTGGATTGGATAGCTCATTGGTTGCCTCAATTGCATCAAGGATGCTTACCGAGTGTCGTCCAATTGCCTTCAGTGTTGGTTTTGAGGATTCACCAGATATTGAAAATGCAAGGGCAGTTGCCAAATTTTTAGACATTGAACATCGAGTTCTCGTAATAACACCAGAACAGTGTATCAAACTTATTCCAGGTAACTATTACATTTCATTAATTAATTAATTGCTCTTTTTATTCTTTTCTTAATAGATTCAATAAGTTATTAGGTGTTGTAAGAATTGTAACAGTTATAGCAAAAAATACTGTTATATAACTACAAGCAGATCTATTTGTTTTGCAAATTCTTTTGTCTCTTACAACTCTTTCAATTCAAAAACTTTGCAACACGTTGTGAACGTTATTGAAACAGAAAAAAATGCTCGAATTAGTTGTCTAATATTTAAATTTTCTTTACACTTATTTTTTATTATTGCTATGGTTTTGTCATCTTTATTTGATTAATTTTTTTTAGGTTTGTTTTAGTTTTACTGGTCTTTCTTTTGTGTTTTTGTGTGTGTATTTATGTTTTGTTTTCACGGTGACACTTCAAAATCAGAACTATTGACAAAGCCGGAAATCCGCATCATTAAATTGTGGTGCTAAAATTGGCTTACCAAATAACTCAACAATAATAATAATAATAATAATGATAATAATAATTTTTCTTATATCTTATTAAAAACAATAATTTTTATACTATTTTAGAAATAGTTTATGCGTTGGAAACGTTCGATCCGTTTATTATACGATGCGGTGTAGCACATTATTTGCTTTGCCAACATATTGCATCAACCTCCGATGTTAAAGTT